GGAGTATGCAAATGAAGTGTGAGAAAATGCTAATCCGTGCTTCATTTGCATAGGCTTTTGGGGCAATACCCACAGGCTGTGTCTAGACTGGCCAGTTTTTCCGGAAAATCAGCTGCTTTTCTGGAAAAAACTTGCCAGCTGTCTACACTGGTCACTTGAATATCCGCAAAACACTGACTTCCTATTGTAAGAAATCAGTGCTTCTTGTGGAAATACTATTCTGATCCCGTTCAGGCAAAAGTCCCTTTTTGCGAAAATGGCGATCGTTTTTTTTTTTTTTTTGCGGAAAAGCATCAGTGCCAATCTAGACGCTCTGTTCCGAAAATGCTTTTAATGGAAAACTTTTCCGTTAAAAGCATTTCCGGACAATCATGCCAATCTAGACGCAGCCAACAATGAGTGGGGTACCACTGGTATCAGGTTTGGGACAGATTCTATTCAGTATCTTCATCAATAATGGAACATAAAATTTGCAAATGATACCAAGGTAAAAATGCAAGACAGCAATTGAATTTAGTGCAAGCCAAAGGCCTATTAACACCAGGCAACTATGGTGTTAAAATTATGACTGATAAACTGAAATTAAATTCACTATTATGGCTGTCACTCCAGTCCTACACAATCTTTTTGAAACCCTGGGCCATCTTTATCCTAATCCTGAAAGGAGTCCAGACCAGAGAGAGCAACCGAGATTAACTCACCATCTTTACAAGCTTTAACAAAATCCTGAACAACTGATGGGGTTCATGAGACTGGACTTTTTTTCTTCCCCTCCACATATATCTTTTTCTTTCTCCCACTTATTTCTACTTTTTCTTATCCTGCTCCATTTTCTTTGAATCTAATAAGAGTGTAGTTCAGCCATCCTAGAATGTATATTTTGCAACACTGCTCTAAGACTATGATCTCTTAAAGGGAGCTAAAAGCAACGCCCTGAACAGCCCAAAGCTAGTACCAGGTTGCCAGGTCTCCAAACTCCGGTCTGCACTAGAGTGTTATTTCGAAACTAACCAATTAGCTCGTCATAAGACAGGATTTTCAGACCTATCCTCCACATCCGTCTTCTCTCCTGAGCCTACGGTCTCTTGCTCCGTCTCTCTTTCTCTCTCTCTCTCCTCCTCCTACTGCCTCCCCCTCTCTCTCTCAGCTCTCCTCCGCCTTCTGCCTCTCTCTCCGTCTCTCTCTTTGTCTTCTCCCCCTCCTGCCTCTCACATTCTCTCTGCTCTCCTCTGTCTCCTCTGGGCGTGTATGTCACCACTCCATCCCCATTTGCCTCCCGCCGTGGCGCTTGGCTGACTTCTGTGCCGCTCAGCTAGGCTGCCGCGGGGGAGCAAGCTGGGCAAGTGGTCCTTTGGCCAGAAGTCAGCCAAGTGCCACAGCGGAAGGCAAAGGACATGACTCAGGCAACAGCGCCACCCAGAGGGAACAGCCAAGGAGACAACAGCGCTGCCCAGAGGGAACAGCCAGCATTTCAGTGTTACAGAGTCACAGACATTGGGCTACTATATATATGATGGTCTTCAGGGTTTGGTAAAATTGATTGTCGCTCCCTTTCAATGGGCGAAATTAAGATTTGCACTGTTCATCATAAACAATCTGTTAATTTCCCTTTAGATATTAAACACTATAGGGAGTCTTCTCATTGTGAATACTTGAGGAGTTATTCATATGAATGCTCACACATATTGATACCTGACGGATATACACATGTATCCTTCAAACAACACGGTCCGTACTGTACTGGTTGGAAATACAGCTTGCCGTCTATATCAGTGTATGGCCCGGATTATATTTCTACAACAGGCTGAAGAATCAGTTCAGTTGTGCTTCTAACCAATCTAGAGCCCATTCTGCAGCCTGTTCAATTTAATGGAACTGCTTATAAGAACAGAGACTGCCGGATCAAGCCTTTTGGGGGGAGATTTTCTATAGGCCCAAACAGCAGATAGGTGCCCATTCGAGACATAACAGGAGGTGGGCGATTAGCTGCCATTTGTGCCTTTAAAAATTCTTCCCTTTTATGAGAAATGTTTCAGTAACTGATCTAGGGCACTAATAAAGGACTCTTATCCCATTTCTTAGTCTGAAATCATCAGCATCACATATTTAGAAACCATTCCTGTTTATGTTAATATCAGTTGCCATTGATTTAAGTGGTAGGAGCACTGGAAACTTAATGAGGGAACTTTCTGCTTACAGGTAGTAAAAAAGCACACCTTTTTATTTTCTTTGGGCTGGCTTCGATTCTCTTTTTCACATTGAGTAGTACCTTACTCTCTGAGTTGTCCTATTGACTTATGAAATAAGTATCTTTCCAGGTGACTAAAAGTATCAGATTCTGGCTCTGTGGAAAGAGGGTTTTCTTTGAATCACTTATTTAGCTGAAAGGTACTACATGACTCATGAATTACGTATTTAATTCTTCTGAGGGACTGGTTGTCTCAGGGTAATAATAATAGGATATTGATCCTTTCACTAATAGATAACTACTAAAAGTTAGTACCAATGCCACGTCTACTCTAGCACTAGCCAGCAAAATGTTTGTTGCTTAGAGGTGTGAAAAAATAAACCTCACCAAGCAATGTAAGTTTTGTTGACATAATCACTCACATGCACAGTGCTATGCCCATGGGAGACACTTTCCTGCCAACTTAGCTACTGCTGCTCATTGAGCTGGTTTTATGATGTCAGCAGGCGCGCTCTCTCCCATCAGCATAATGTAGCTACCTGAGCAATCTCACAGCAGCACAGCGGTATCGGTGCAGCCATAAGCTTGCAAGTACAGACATGGCCTTAGTGTCATTGGAGACCAAAATTAAATGAGTTGATAGTCTCAGGCAATGTTCCCTCGAAGCTGGGTGCGTGGGCAACCACTCAGGAGAGATTCGAATGCCACCCAGTTGATTAGCATAGCACTCACAGCTGGCAGCAACCAGCAGCATGTGCTTCTGCTGGTCATGCACATCTGCACATGCCTTGATGCACGTAACAAATTTTATTATACACATGGAGAAACGGGAGGGATCCTGATCTCAGGCCAGTTTCTAGAGTGCATGTCAGCAAAAAACAATGCCACAATTATCAGTACATGATGTGGTGGTGAGATCTAAAGAGGGGTTAAAGATTTAAAGGATGTGTAAAATGAACTACTCTGTCAGTCTCCTTAGGAAGTGGTAGTCCCTCCAGTCCAAGAATCAAGCACTGTGACAGGGTTACATGGGGGAAGTGTGCACTGCTGCTCTCTATGCTGTGCCTGTTCCATGGATAGAGGATGTCGGTCTCCAGAGCTCTCGACCTGGCACATTTCACCAGAACAAAATAAACCTTTTTAATGGACTCTTTATAATATTTACAGAATAGATCCATAGAAAACAGAACATTGTTCTATTGATCACAACTGTGTTTTATAGAGGCCAATCCACCTAGGTTCCCAATTAGCTTAAACTCATTCAAGCCATCCTTGTACTTATTCCCCACTGCCTGGTTATTTGAGTCGTGCTTTCCGGAGCTGGCTAGTAATACATTCTTCCTCTCTCTGTCTAAAGGCACTAGCAGTGGCAGGGCTGAGTCCCCTACTCCAGAGAAGCCATTCCCCAGCAACTTTCTCCCCCCGGTTGTGTGCCACCCCTCCTGCCGGACCCTGTAGCCAAGGCTGGCCGCAGAAAACCATCCCGACGTTACGGCTTGATGGAGTGGAGTCCAGTGAGAAACTCAACAGTAGCTTCCCATCAATACACTGCAGCTCCTGGTATTCTGACAGCACCAGCTGCAGCAGCCCACGGCGAGCCAGGCCGGTCTCCCTCACCGTCCCCACCCAGACTGGAGGGAGCAGCAGGCAGTTCCACGGCAGTGCTGGCAGCCTTGTCGAAGCGGTAAGTTGACAAAGTTACAGAGGGCCTGGGAGTGACTGCAACAGCAACTAGAAATGAGTCATCGTTAGAGGTGCCGTAAGAGTATTATTGTTAGCAGTGCTGGGCTTTGGTAACCATCTCCAGTCAGCGCTTGGTGGTGTGAGTAGGAGGGGAGAGAGGTTTGGGAGGGAAAAAGGAGTGGCCAGTCAGGAGCTGGGATGGTGGCTGGGTGATGTGTCTGATGATGCTAATACTAATTTTTATCTGTGTGTTCTGTCTCTGGTTTTCCCCCTTGCTTTTGAAGGTCTTGATTTCAGAAGGACTGATGCAGTTTGCTCAAGATCCAAAGTTCATTGAAGTCACAACTCACGAGCTAGCAGATGCCTGTGACATGACAATAGAAGAGATGGAAAATGCAGCAGACAACATACTCAATGGTAACAGCAAGCAGAGCCCCAATGGCAACCTCTTGCCTTTTGTTAACTGCAGGGACCCAGGGCAGGACAGTGCAGGAGAGGAAGAGGAAGAGGTGCAGAGCCCGGATTGTAGAAAAAGTCAGGAAGAGCTCCAGGACAGCAGGATTTATGTCAGCAGCCTGTAGTTGCCAGGGCTGAAGTGATGCTGGTTTTTTATTTGTTTCAATGTTCCTAATGGGTTTGTTTCAGAAGTGCCTCACTGTTCTCGTGACCTGGAGTAACCGGAACAGCGTTCTTCATTCATTTCTGTTGGGACGAGTCGCAGAGTTGGGTGGTGTAAGAGAGCTTTTCAGGAGCGAATACAACCCCAGCATGTGTCCATGAAGGAAGAGTGAGGAGGGGAAAGAGGTGGAGGAGGAGAGCCAGCTTCTGCTTGTTCTTAGTCGCTGCACAAGGAACGATGGCTGCTTCCCGAATGCGAAGGAGAACCTCAGCTTCCTGTGGATGGCCCTAGCCAAAAGGACCCTGCATCAAACGGGTGTCTTTCAACTTTGCTTGTAAAAATCATTTTGCACATATTCTGTATGAGCCTCACTGTCTCCTTAAAGCCAAGGCCCTTTTGATTTGGAATAGAATGGTGGACTTCTTCTGCTGTGGATTCCAGGACCTTGTTGGGGAGGAGGAAGCAGAAGAAGCCTTAGGGTACCTGAGAGGCAGATGGCAACACTGCTTGAATGCAGAGATTTCTAGGCAGTGGTCTCTGCCAGCCAATCAGAGCTCAGGTAGCCATGTCTGCCAACCAATCAGAGCTCAGACAGCCAGCTGTGCCAACCAGTCAGAGCAGGTAGCAAGCTCTGTCGAGTAGAGCTGAGGCAACCTGCCCTTTTCTAAGTGAGGTGGTGATGGGCTTATGTAGATCTCTCCTTGTTTTTGCAGTTTGATATTTTCTTGAAAGCATGTTCTAATTTTTATTTTGGATATTTTTGTTTTGTTTTGAATGGAGAGGGGAGAAAGGAGTGTTTACAACGTTTTGTAATCACCTACCTTTTTTTGTTTTGTTCTGTTTTGTCTTCACCTGCAAATGTTAAATGGGTTTGGTTACATTGTATTATTTAAACTATTTTTTCTCCATTGGAATTTGATAGAAGATATAAGGCTAGAAAAGTTTTACTGACCATTATGTACACCAAGAATTTATAATTTAATTTGATAGTAATTGAAATCTCCTTTTTCGTTGTTGTTTTATAATTTAAAGATAGTCGGCAATGCACTTGATATAGTCTTGCACATTCGAGTGATTGATTTGGATTCTTTTTAGTGCTAAGTATTTCTGTGAGTGAGAGTGTGAGCGGCACTGAGTGTGTGTGTGTATGTGTGTATAAGTGCATACAGTTCTCCACTTCCTGGTTTTACCTGCAGGAGATCTGTATCTGGGGCCATTTGAATGCAAAAATAAACCACTGTCTCTGCTTTTGAAAGGGGAATCAGTAACTCTTTGCATTTTCTGTTCCACAAGATATGCAAAAACAATGCAATAATATTAATTTTAAAATACAATTGTGAGTTGTGTTGGCATTAAAACTGTATAGAAACAAAATTAAGGGGAAAAACAAACTAAAGTGAGAAGGAGTTACGCTTCGATATATTCCGTGTGATGTTTTATTGCATTGATAATGTTTCTGTTGAAGAAACCGTAATACTTGAATTCAGGTCAGTTTCAGTATTTTTCAAATATTTTTTTAAAATGAATTGCAATTGTGCCAAGCGAATATAATGAATTGAATTAAGTTTGTTTTAAAAAATCACTTCTTGTATATTTTGCTGCATGTAAAGTAAATCATTTCGTATTTGGAGTGTGCCAAGCTTTACCTTTGAACTTTAAGTGCTTTTCTACGTGTGGTTGGGGAAATGGGTACTAAATATTTTTTTTTCATTTTTTAATTTGTACAATGAACAAAGTGTACCTAGTGTAAGTAACTATTTTGCAATCCACTGACAGATTGAACGTTACTGATTTTGCATATCTTGTGTTCACTTTCCTTTTTCCTCACTCCCTTAAACATGCACAATTAATTTCTGAGTAGAGTATCTTGCTTCCTGAGACCAGGACATTTTATCCAGTCTTCATCCTGTTCCCTTTGCTCAGATTCTCTCAATATTGCTCCTCATTAGAGTGGCAGAATCTGTATGACAAGATGATCTGGTAAGATTTCTAGGAACTAAGCTGGCACCAGCAACTCTGAGGAGATGGGATTGTATTATGTAATTTCATATTTCTTCCACTGAATCTCTAACTCTTGGTTATCAGTAATAGAGTTTCCTTGGGGCACATGACAAGCAAATGTGAGAGGCAGAGTCATTAGCTAGGGAAAATAATCTAGCTCTGGAATAATGATATTCCTGGGTGAGGTGAAAAACTTCTGAATTCTTACTCAACAGAATTGCTCTGGTACTGCTCTTAGCTAGAGAAACTGAGGTTTTGTGACATATTTTGCACTCCAATGTGTAATCGCATAATTCTCCCCGTACCTGAGTTTATAAACTCAGATTCTGGGCCTCAGCGATACTGCTTTAAATCCAGCATAACTCCATTGAAGCCAATGGCCCTATGACTCCTGCCCATCTCAACCTGTTATTGAATCTAAACTTCTTCTTATCCCTCCTGTTGTCTCTTACTATTGACAAACATAATGGATTTTCCTTGGAAATGGATCTTCATTTGAAACTGCATCATGTGGAAACTTAGCTGTCTTGGTCTAAAACTCCCGCTAGTTTTGCTCCATTTTCCAGATGGATCCTGGAGTTACAGATCAGTCAGTACTGAATAAAGAAGAATGATCTGACTCCAAAAAATCAGAACCAAACGTCCATCCATAATTTAAGCTTATTCTGAGATGTGAAAATGTTAAATTTATTAAGTGTATTGTTTATATTTTTCATGCACATCTATGCTTTCCTGGTTTTGAACGGGGCCTAAAGAAGAACTAAAGGGATATTTTTGATGGTATTGTATTGTCAGTGGTATTATAGAGTGGCTAGCAGCACTTCAAGATGTCCTGGGTATTTTACAAGGAAAAGCCTCTTCTTAAGAGAGTTCAACCAAAGGAGCTTGCATCAGGTTAGGTACACATGGTGGTAGTGAGTGGTCAAAGTCTTGAAATCCTTACTCAAGGCTGATGTAGGCAAAATTAGGCATAGGCATCAATCAAGCCAGTGCTGAGACAAAATCTCAGGTAATTTTGCCCATGACTTGCATATGGGTTCCGAGTTCGACTTCTGGATACTTACCTAATCCAAATCAAACTTCCGCACGTTTTGAAGGTTCTCCAGTTTTAGTGCTCTGGTGCATAGGGCCAGTGCTATTGAAAATAAAGTAGCCCTAGGCCTAATCATCTATTTCTGAGAGGGATTCGGGTGGTAGAGTCTCCCTAATGCGCTGTCTTGTACTGAATAGTTTATTTGACCCACATTTAGTGGGAATTGTTGGTGCTCATCACCTCTGAAAAATCAAGCTAGTGAATTTGTCTGTCTTGAAGTCAGCTGGAGCTCAAGATGCTCATTTGCTCTTAAGATTTGGTCTCAGGCTCGAGGAAGAAGCTTACATCATCTACATCCTTCTCTGAACACTGCCTGTTCCCTCAGTGATCAGACCTTGCAGAGGGCTGGAAAACCCCCATCTCTCTACTGCACAGTCCCCTACATCCCACGGATTTAAATCCATATGCAAAGAGGACAATGCAGATGAAGATGATATTGATAATTGAGGAGTGGTACTAAAACCAGAACTTGCTGATGCCAGCTGTAATAAATTTCATCCTCTGTGGAAGGTGGCATTTCATGTAGATACTTACTGACACACAGATTGTAATAGGTCTGAGCAAAGAGCTACTGCCTCCTTCAAGCGGGGCAGGGTCTGGGCCATGGTGGGGAGAAGAGGGCAGGTTTGGTTCCCTGGAGAATCCTTCCTTTCCCTGTGTATTGGAGCTAGCGTCAGGTACAATCAATGTGCTGTGGGTGGAAACACTGAAAAAATTAATGATTGAGGAGTTTGGGGAAAATAGTCTTGGTATCTTTACCGATTGAGGAGTGAGGTTGATTTGCAGCTTGCTAACAGTGCGCTGCAGACTAAAGACATTTCTTACAAAACAACAAACCTGCTCTCTCATCACCCTGGTCTTTATTCTAGGCCGTACCAAGCAGGTCACACTGGATGCATTTCTTCTTTCTTCTTTATTCTGTGTGGCTGCCATGATGGAAAAAGTGGGACTAATGATCCAGAGCTGGAGTTTCCTTATCCAACAGACCTTTTCTGCATCATCTGCCTCTTCAGCTGGACATATGAATGATGATGATGGTGGTGATATAGATGCTGCTGCTACCTTGAGAGGTTTAACCTGTTTCATTCCCCTTCCTGACCGCTCCGTAGTCTGGAAAGACAGCTGAAGGAGCGCCATGTACAGAATCACCTCTATTTCTGCTTTATTTTCTGACTCAAAACCCTGCCCCCCTCGATGACTACGATGACAACAACAACAACAAAAAGGGCAAATGCATTTTTTTACATTTCTTGATAATTTTCAAAGCAATGTATCATTGCTTTCTTTAGACTGACGCCAATATAACAGTTGTATGGGTCTCAGCCAGGCTCCTGTGTCTTTTCTGACTGCTAGTTTCAGACGGCTGTGTGAAATGTATGCATGTTTGCACACAGACACAATCCCACAAGGTGACAGACTCATAAGCCAGTCAGGTCGCTAACATGTTTTTTACATGCAGTTGGAGGCCTCTTGCTTCTTATATAAAGATGTAAAAATTAATCAGTGAACTAGAGGATATTCTTTAATGAAGCAGCCACATTTGGATAGAACTGTGTAATATATACCCACAATACAGCCTTGACCATCCAAGTGTTGTATTGGACACTGAGTAAGAAGTTTGGAAATCAAGGGATTTTAAAGTAATTAACATCTACCAGGGAACTTGAATCTACTTCAGATAGTTGTGAGTTTTGATAGGTTCAGATATTTGAGATTGTAGTGCATAAAAGGAAAACCATAATTCCAGTGAAATGATTTAAAACACCTCTCTCTAACCCCACTGTAAATCGAGTATAATTCATTTGAAGCTAATGAGGTTATACTGATATAACACAGAAGTCGGGATCAGGCCCAGAAATTTTTTTTCTTCGTTTATTTTCATCCCTGAAGGAGTCCATATATATAAATGTTGCATTTACAAGAGCTGTCTGGGTTTTTCATTTTTATTCTAAAATCTGATTCTAGTTGGCTTGGTAAAATAGATTAATTCCCACTTTAATTAATAAGCCAAGGAATCAAAACAGTTCTTCCCAAGAGGGTCCCTCTGCTGCTGCTTTGTTTCTGACGATCTTACAGTAAGAGCCGTATAACCTCCCTGCTACACAGGGTCTGATGTGGGTGAGGTAAGAATGGCTGCACAGCAGTGAGATGCACATTACAGAACTAAAAACAGACTGGTCTCTAACTTAAGACAAAGAGGGCTTGTGGTATCACACTGGGATGAATGTATCTCCTGATATTAAATTCAGTGTCCAGTTCAAATCCCCTGTTCTTTCCACCTTGGGGAAATTTTGCTCAAGATGAGGATAAAGAGCAGACCCTCTTTAGAAGTAAATAGTCCTGTCTAAAGGGCTACCCCGAAAGTGCCTCTTCGGTAAGCAAACTGCTGTAGGCATATATCTACTTCAGCATTACGAATGACTTAACAGGAGGCAAAAATAAATATCCCACAATCCTTCCACATTGTGCTTGCTTCTTTATTCCATCTCACTCAGATAACTTGCTTCCATTTACCCTGAGGGCCATCATATTCAGCCACTGCTTTCACTTAGCCCAGGAGCAGACTGGCTGGGTCATAGGCCAAATGCTATGCTACAAGCACAGACCAAGGCAGACATGCCTCTTTCCTAGAACAGATTCTCACCCAGTCTTCAAACAGCCTCCTTCCTATGCAGTAATCTGCTCAACTTCTCCTAGTTAGTACAGAGCCCACCTGCCACTAGTCTTCTCACCTATATGATAAATGTCCTGAATTGTTGTCCAGCCAGGCAAAATGTAACCTGTTTCCCAGAGAGACTCCTGGGTCAGTTTGCTCTTGGTTAGTATCCAATCTTCCTTAAAACCTCTCAATTCCATGACGCCTCATGGAAGTGCCAGATGCAGGGTGTACAGCTATGACCATTTGAATGGGGAAAGATAAAGTGAGATTTTGAATATCGCATTGCAACATGCTGAATCACCCAAGAGAAATACTTTTAAAACTGCCTTAACAAATGAATTCAAAATGAGGGAGACTCCCTCCAAATGAGTGAGACAAGAAAACAACAAGGGAAAAGCTATCTGGGGGGTGAAATCTGGCAGGAATCCAGCTCAGTTCAAGAGATGAAAACATAGTTTGGGGCCTGATCCTGTAGTACATACTCAAGATAAAGCCCCTTTGACTTCAGTGATTAAAGACTGCAAGATCAGGACTTTACAAGGCAGAGGTGGGTATGTCCTTGCCTGTATCTGATTAATTTGGGGACTGATCCTGCAAGGTGCTAAGTACACGTATTTCCCATTGGCTTCCGAGGAAGATTTGGTTGCTTAGCATCTCTCAGGCTCAGCACTTGAGCATCATTTCGTGCTTGGGCCACATCAGTTATAAATGTTGATAAATGTAAGTGTTTTGCCTTCCATTTTAATTACCCAATGCTGTGAAATGAACGTTCTAGGTACACGCCACCCCAGATGTAAGCCTCCTCTCCACACACCTCTCCACCACCAGTGTCCATACCATCTTCACTGAAGCCCTTCCCAGTACTAGCTCTTTACCATATCCCACAATTTTATACCCAGGTTTCATGAAACCACAGAAATGCTTTTGTAAATAATGCTGTACAGTTTGTAACCATAAGTGTACGCCTGTCATCGGTGCCAGAGTCCGGCTTGCCCTCTCGCACGTTTTAAAACTCAACGACAAAAAGTTAGAGCGAATGGCCCACAAGTGAGCGATAGGGTCATCTCTGTGTGGGACAAATGTATATTCCTGTAAGATTGCATTTTTATCTAAGGAATGATGTTATTTTAAAAATTGCTAATAAATTTCTAAACAATGTCTAGATTGGTTTAGTATCTGTAAATTTTATCATAGTTTCTTTTACACACCCATCCCCTTCTCTCAACAGTGTCTAAAAACAAGCCAAGTGCTTGCAAGCCCTTATTCACTTGAATAGTCACATTGAGGTTAATGGGATTACTTGTGTGATTTAAGGGTTTGCAAAATTGGCTCCTTGGTAGTGACAGAATAGCCTGATAAATATCACCCTAGAAAAATCCATTCTATTTTACTGTGGAATGTCTCTAATTACATTGTAGTTACTCTATAAAGTCTGGTTTTAAAGTGTAGCCAATGTAGTTAACCTTCTGGCTACAGGATTTTGTGTTACATATATATCAAAATGTATGGTTTCATCATAATTACAATGAAAAGAATACCTGGAGCATAAAACAAACAGTGTTAATAAGTAATTCAGTCACCTATTTAGCTTACTGATTATATGAATTTGTGGCATAACTATCCTGCAATTTTTTTTTATAATTCCAGTGGAACAGCATTGTAATTACAATCACTGTATTATAAACCATAGGTAATTACAGCCACTGTATTGCAAAGTGATTCAGAACATTCTTCTCCAAAAATAATCTGTGATTCTGCTTGAACTGTTTATAAATAGCCTCTGATTGTGGTAACCAAAGGCTGCAAATGGGGGGAGGGGTCTTCAGTATAACCACTGGCCTTGTATTGCAGCATGAGAATGAGGAAGAGGAACAGAGAGTCCAAACTCACCCCTAGCATAGCTGATCTAATGTCACTGAAATCAATCAAGTGGTATTTACTTATCCAAGGACTAATTTTGGCTTTGTGTTAGAAACTTGCCCCACAAAACCATGATAAACTGGCTTGGTTGCAAATTCCATAACAACTCCAACATTCAGCTACAATTTGTTGAAAAGTTCATTTATCTGGGACCCATGTCAAGATCAGGTGAGCCAGGTTATGGTTCATCACTGAAACCATGTGATGTGTATGGTTTCCATGTAAAACCATATGAAACTCCAAGGTTTAGAATGGTTTCGGAGAAGTTAGTTTGTTTCAGCAAAAACAGCAAGGAGTCTGGTGGCACTTTAAAGACTAACAAATTTATTAGGATATTAGTGCATAAGCTTTTGTGAGCTACTACTTACTTCCTCAGATGGGAGGGAGGAAAGTTTGAATTTAATGCTGAGGACATGTTCAGACCTGTAACTCAAAGCAAAACCTGTGGGAGTGGGAGAAACTCCATGTACATCAGCTAAAAGGTTAGCACATGCACTTGTGAACTAAAAGCACTGAAAGTTACTCCCTTCCATAGGGTACATCTACACTTAAACACTATTTTGGGGTACCCCGAAATAGCTATCCCATGTCTTCACAGCAAGCCCATTATTTTGGGCTCCCTATTCTGGTGCCCAAGGAGTAAGGGACGTTTCAGAACAGCACTTTATTTCAAAATTTTGTGCTGTGTAGACAGCACCAAATGATGAAATAAGCTATTTCAAAATATCATTGAAATAAGATACACAATGTGAGCTATGCAAATTGTGTATTTTATTTTGAGTTACAGTGCTGTGTAGATGCACCCATAGGGAGTATCCTACTATGTGCTTTCATAATACCTTCCACTTGGGGACCTCAAACCACTTTAATATTTATGAATTAAAATTCATGCTGCCTCAAAGAGATTGTTATATCCTCATTTTACTGATGGGAAAATAGTCCCAGAGAAGTTGTGACTTCCCTTAGGATACACGTGAAGTCAGTGACAAACTCAAGAACAGAAGCCAGCTCTATGACTTTTCAGCCCCACAGTTTAGTCACATGACAATCCTCCTTCAAGCAATAATATGTATATAATACAAAACTAATTCAAAGTTTACAGCAAAAGTTGAGGTATAAAGTGAAAACGAGAGTCCACCTCTGGCTAGCCTCTGTCACAGGATGGCCAGTTTGAAATCTGCATGAAGTTGTATACTAATATATCTTTCCCCTAGGCACTCCAGCCTTTGATAGCTTGGCAGTACTCTGGCTTGCTCCTTCTACCAATGGGCATTTTATGGTCAGAGTTAGCAGGAAACAACAAAGCCAACAGCTCTGAGAGTGATTACTATCTGAGGACTGTCGGTCTCCATGAATTGTGCTCTCAGCAAAGTTGCATTCCCAGCATAACCACAAATTCGCACTAATTGGCACTTTTATTTGCAATCGCCACAGAAAGGCTGAGGGCTAAATGAACAGAGATTAATCTGTTCTTTCAGCCCTCAAGTGGGTCTTCCATTTGAGAGGTAATGCGCATGGGTACAGTATGAGAAAGTTTGCAGTGATGCTAGAGAACTTCAGTCTCCAGCACTGTCAGGACAGCATTTAGCATGAGCAATAAATTCATTTTAATAAACTGAATAAAACAAATGTTTCGTTTTGACTATATGTGGGCAATACAGACCAAACAATAGTTAGCTGGTGAGAATTTCAGCTTGTGTATATTTTTCTTGGGTAGGTTGAAGATATAAAAGGCTTTATTTACCACTTCCTTGCACTTTCTGTTGTCACTTGTACCTAAACAAAGTTTAACATGCTATGCAATCCGAATGGTTGCATCTTACACCCACCTTGCACAAGAATAATTAACTACACAGGATGCATGGCAGTGAAGAATCAGGCCCTAAATTAATCTCTGGATTGAGTTTGCTGGTATGTAGTTCGGATCTGGGGTATTCATTTGTTTCATAATATAGAAGGGTAATTTGGAGAATTTGGCTCTGATACCAGGTTTGGATTTTGGCCATCCCCATAATTCAGCAGTGTTAGATCTAGCATTTTGGTTCAGGGATATTTTTATGTTTACTATGACAGCAATGGTTACCTCTCATTAGCCAAGTTTTCTTTCCCCACATCAATACACCATGAATACACAAAGGACATTGCTATATGTTTATCTTGTGTTTTTCTCTTTGCAACTGAATATAAACACACTAACTACCTTTGGAATCTTACAGGATTCAGTGTCAGGGCCTCCAGAATATTCCTCTTCCCCAGAGATTTACAATGAACTGTTTGAAAAGGATGACCAATTCATCAGCTCATTGTTTACCTGTTAGATGTGTGGAGAGTGAATACTCAGTAGGCTCAGCCAGCAGGCAACTTTTACTGGAGTCTACATTGCTACTGAAATACAAGGTAATTTTCAAAACATGGTCACTCCACCACTTCCTTATGCAAACATGGGTTGGAGCGAGGGGCAAGAAGAATGCCTATTCCAGGACCAGAAAGAAGGGAGGGGACTGTCTCAGTGGATGGAGTGACAACATGTTTAAAAATAACATATTCCCAGAAACAAATTATATGTCTGGAAAAAATTTCAGAACAGATTTGTACTCTGGGACACCCCTCAAGCCAGATTTGAGCTGCTCCTGTGTGAGCGCATAGCATAGGATCTCCCCTTCCCTCATCTCCCCAGGACAGCAATACTCTTGAGATGGGTGACCCCAGAGCACATGGCGTGTGAGAGAATGTCTAGATGTGGTGTGGCAGAAGCCTTGTCTACCTCCATGACAGTACAAAGCCCATGTTGGATGACCACATGGTGTACCTTTCAAACACAAAGGCATCGCCTCCCACCCACCTCAGCTCCAGTGGCTTTCTATGGCAGTAGCAGCACAGTGCCCCTGTCTCAGCTCTGCATTCTCCACCTCCCAGCTACCTGGAAGACACGCACCAACAGACAGTCACGCAAGAGCACTGCACCACCCTCCAGACAAATACCAGTATGGCAGACGGGCACAGCAGGTACAGAATAAGGATGTTAAAGATTAGTCGACTATTGATAAGCAAATGCTTATCGGATAGTCAGTCATCTAGTCAATCCTCCCCCCTCTCCCCGCCCCGCTGCCTCTATCAGATAGAGGCAGTAAAGGGGGAGAAGGAGGTACTTCACAGGGCAGTGCTTCACAGCTGATTCCCAGCTCTGTGGGAGTCCCCCGCTGACCACGATCTCTGCGTGGCATTTCAAATCGGCTGTGCAACATGGAGCCAAGGGTCAGCAGGGGACTCTGAGTCCCGCACTGACTCCGGGTTCCATGAGTGCACTTCCACTTTGAAATGCACAAGAGCTCCCACTGGGGACTCTTGTACATTTTAAAGCTGGTACCTGCATGCAGCCCGGAGTCAGCAGGACTACCCGCTGGCCCCAGGCTGCACATGGTGTTCCATATTCCTCCTTTGAAATGTACAAGAGCTGGGCTCTTGTATATTTCAAAGGAGGGATGTGAAAGTGCCTATCGAGTAGTCGATGGAAATTCCATCAACTACTCGACTAGTAAATTAATCACAATTTAACATCCTTAGTACACCAGGGACACACACAGAGAGGCAGGCCCAAGACAGCTGCATGGACACATGCACAAACAGGTACAGCAAGGACACATACACACAGAGGCACAGCACAGCCGCATGGGGACACTCTCTCTCTCTCTCTCTCTCTCTCACACACACACACACACACACACACACACACACACACACACACGTATGTACGTACAGCATGGGGACACACACAGAGACCGGCACAGCACAGCACGGAAGGGATGTTAAATGTTTATTGTTATAACCATGTAACCACTGAATTTTTCGGTGGTTACACATTTACATGGGGGAGGAGGAGACAGGAGGGAGCTGGTATGTGAAGGGAGCTGGCTTGAAAGTTGGTTTCCTGCCAGAGCTGCTGCCTCTGTCACATAGGCTATGTCTACACTCGCAGCTTCTTGTGCAAGAACATCTTGCGCTAAGGTTCTTGTGCAAGAAGTCTTGCGCAAGAAAACGTCCACACTGCCATGTGCACGCTGTGCTTTTGCACAAGAGCACCCATGGCAGTATGGACGCTCTCTTACGCGAGAAAGCTCCGACAGACATTTTAGCGATAGGGCTTTCTTGCGCAAGAAATCCCTGCCGAGTGTCCACATTGCTCTCTTGTGCAAGAGCTCCTGCGCAAGAGGGCTTACACCTTTTAAAAAAGAGCATAGCTCTTGCACAGGAGGCCCTCTCTTAACACGTCATACTGTAAATTTCCTTGCGCAAGAGTGGGCGGGCAGTGTAGATGCTCTGTGGATTCTTGTGCAAGAATGGCCATACTTGCGCAAGAAGCCGCGAGTGTAGACATAACCCTACAGAGGCAGCAAGGGAGGAGTATGTGTACCCATTAGGATTAACTGATGTGCCCAGGCTTATGGTGAGTCATGTAAACAGCTATGCACTGATGTGAGTTGTGCCCAGGAAAGCTCATGATACCAGCTACATGTTTTGTAGTCTCGAAGGTGCTACCAGACTATTTGTTGTTTTTTAAGTTTTGCCTTTAGCATGGATACATACACGGACGCGGGCGCGCGCACACACACACCCACACACACACACACTCAGAGACAGGCACAGGACACAGGGACACACGCAGAGGCAGGCACAGGGCACAGGGACACACACAGGGGCAGGCACAGGACACGGGGACACGCATAGAGGCAGGCACAGGGCACAGGGACACACACAGGGGCAGGCACAGGACACGGGGACACGCATAGAGGCAGGCACAGGGCACAGGGACACACACAGGGGCAGGCACAGGACACGGGGACACGCATAGAGGCAGGCACAGGGCACAGGGACACACACAGGGGCAGGCACAGGACACGGGGACACGCATAGAGGCAGGCACAGGGCACAGGGACACACACAGGGGCAGGCACAGGACACGGGGACACGCATAGAGGCAGGCACAGGGCACAGGGACACACACAGGGGCAGGCACAGGACACGGGGACACGCATAGAGGCAGGCACAGGGCACAGGGACACACACAGGGGCAGGCACAGGACACGGGGACACGCATAGAGGCAGGCACAGGGCACAGGGACACACACAGGGGCAGGCACAGGACACGGGGACACGCATAGAGGCAGGCACAGGGCACAGGGACACACACAGGGGCAGGCACAGGACACGGGGACACGCATAGAGGCAGGCACAGGGCACAGGGACACACACAGGGGCAGGCACAGGACACGGGGACACGCATAGAGGCAGGCACAGGGCACAGGGACACACACAGGGGCAGGCACAGGACACGGGGACACGCATAGAGGCAGGCACAGGGCACAGGGACACACACAGGGGCAGGCACAGGACACGGGGACACGCATAGAGGCAGGCACAGGGCACAGGGACACACACAGGGGCAGGCACAGGACACGGGGACACGCATAGAGGCAGGCACAGGGCACAGGGACACACACAGGGGCAGGCACAGGACACGGGGACACGCATAGAGGCAGGCACAGGACACAGGGACACACAGACAGACAGGCAGGCAGGCAGGCACAGGACACACACACACACACACACTCAGAGACAGGCACAGGACACAGACAGAGACAGACAGAGGCAGGGACAAGGGAGACAGG